AGTGACTTGGAGAATTGGAGAGGTCTTCTAAGAGGTGGGTAGGGTACCGAGGAGGGACTGGGACGTGACTCAAAAGGGCCTTCTCTTAGCGCTTCCAAGTATGCTAGATGGGATTTGATAGATATATCCAGTGGAGGACAACCTGTGAGGGAGATTGCTGGGATAGTTGGAGTACACGGGCCTCCTCTGATTAAAGCTTTAGCGTATTTGTAATGGAGGCCACGTAGCTTCCGGATGCCATTGGTGTCGAACGCCCGCTTGCCCCAAACCCCAGAGCCATAGAGGATAGCTGGGAGGATCACCATGTTATGTATTCTTCGGCCCGCGCTGAAGGTTAATCCGAACTGCCCCTGGATCGTGCTGGTTAGTCGAGGGAGAATCCACCTGCACCTCTTGAGGATGTTGTCCAGGTGACCTACGAAGTTTCTTTTGGAATCAAAGGTAACACCGAGGATTTTTATAGTGTTATCAATTAGAATAGGTTGGTTTTGGAAATGTATGCCGTGATAGCCTGGACGCTTGGCTTTCCAATGGAAGAGGCAGGCTTGGGTTTTCCTTGGGTTGAATGTTAGCCCCTGAGTCTTACCCCAATGAAAGAGCTGTTTTAGGAATTGATTGATCTCTCGTGTTGGGAATCTGCGGAGGAAGTGAATCAGCACCGTGAAATCGTCTGCGAAACTGATGATTTCACTGTTGTTTGGCCTTGGAAGGAGATGGATTTTCCTAGCCACTATGTTGAAGTAGAAGGGGCTCAGTGCTGCACCTTGGGGGACCCCAAGTAGAGTAGTAGAGGTAAGGGTGGCGTTCCAAGCGTTGTAAATTACCTGCCTTCCTCGGAGGAAGCTCGCGAACAGTTGAATCAACTCTTCTGGGCAGTTAAGGTCGCGGAGGCCTTGAATGATGGTGTGTCTTTGAACGGTGTCGAAGGCATGGCTGATGTCCAGACCAATAGCCAAGGTCTTCCTCCAGTGCTGCAGGCCTTTACTGATGTTGTTGTTAATGGAATCGAGCGCCATTTCAGCTGAGCGCCCTGGAAGGAAGCCAAACTGCTGGGGTGAGAACCAGCCTTGGTAATCCGCTATCCATTGCAGGCGCGCCAGTATACACCGTTCAAGGACTTTGGCCAAGGTATTGAGCAGCGTGATGGGACAGTATTTCTCCAGTTGGTTGGAGGAAGAAGAGTTTTGTTTGGGTATGAGAACTAACCGACCGGATTTCCAGGGTGTTAGGGAGGTGTCCGAGACGTAAGCATTTGGTGAAAATTTGTGACAGTGTTTTATGCAGCGTTGACCCACCAAGAAGAAGGCATCTGGTACCTAGCCTGTCGGGACCAGGGGATTTCCTCCGACCGCATCGACGGATCGCGCGAAGGACTTCAGACACTGTAAAGGCTGGTTCTTGGTTGTAGGGTTGGAGCCAATCAATTGATGGGGTTGGCGCTGTCCAGTCTGTTGGAAAATAGTGCTGAAGTACTTCATGGCAGGTTTCCTCTGGGGTGAGTGGAGTGCCGTCGTTGTGTTTGAGCAGAGGTGGCCCAAGAGAACCTCTTCGGCCTTTGGAGATATATCGGTGGATGGAGCTCCATGCGGCCGAGGAGACCTCTTGGCACAGTGTTATCCAGGAGAGATGCTTTTCTCGCCTTATAGCCGCCTTGAGTTTGTTGTGGTAGGCTCTATAAAGACCTTTAAAGAAGCTCCTGATATAAAAGGAGGTGCTTTGATAGCAACGTCGTAAAGCAACAACTAAATTGCGGAGTTTTGAAAGCTCCTTGTTCCACCATGGTCTTGAAGGCCTTGGAGATTTTGATTTCTTTCTCATGGAGATATTGCAGGCCTCCTGAAGACAGGTAGTGAGGAGAGTAACCACCTCATCAATGTGGCCTGGAGTGAATGCGGTCTGGAGACGCGATGTGACATGGTGGAGGCTGGACCCAATGAAGGCAGTGAAGGTCTCTTCCAGACATGAAGTCTCAACCCATGAGCAAATAGGCTCTGTGGAAATGATGTCATCGAAATTTGTAAGGATTGGCAGATGATCAGAGAAAGCCATCTCCTGGAGACATGATCTAGTGGCGTGAATGGCTAGCGAGCTGGATGCTAGGGTAACGTCGATGGAAGAGCGCAGGGATCCGTTGGACCAGGTGTAATGGTTGGGAGATCCCAAGAACTGTAGGCCCATCAGTGAAGCAGAGTCCTCCAGGCTGGCCCCACGGGCATCGCGGGTAGCTCCAATACCCCAGGTTGGAGAGTGGGCGTTGGCGTCCATGCCAAGAATGCATGAGAAGGATCCTATGTTTATTGCAGATTCCAAGGTTGGTAGGAAAGATAAATCCGGGACACTGTTGTGCCAGTACGCCGAAGCGAGGACAACAGCCTGGTTGCCTAACCGGATGAGGGCCGTGGAGATGTTTGGATCAGGTGAGCTAAGTGGAATGGCGTTTAGATTTGATCGTATTACAAGCCCAGAAGGTGCATTGTTTTCATTTGGGATGAATGTGTCAAAGCTTGAATCAGGCCATTTAAAGTTCTTTGGTAATTCTTGAAGTAAAATAGCGTCTACCTCTTGTTCTATTGCAATGGTGGAGAGTTCGAGGACTGCAGATGGCGATTTCCTAAGGTTGGATTGGAGAACTCTGAAGGATCTATGCATTCTTGTTGAGTTGAGCCAGCTTGGCCTTCACCAGAGGACAAGCCCAGGATGTCGCGTAGTGATTGAGCTGCTCAAAAACAGCGCCGGCCTTCTTGCAGCAATTGTGACATTTTGCTGAAGTGTTGGGACAGGCGTGGCCCTCGTGACCTGTCGTACCACATTTGTAGCAGATAGGTTGGGCAGCAGGGCATGAAGTAGCGCGGTGGCCGAAGCTGCAGCAGCGGTAGCATTGCTTCAGGGAGTAGCTTCTTTCGTAGCGTAAAATTAAACCTGCTATAGGCATCTTACCTCGATGCTCTAGGAAATTAGCCGTCTGATCGTCTACTTCCAGGAAGACTGTAGTGTACCCATGGGGATTGTCCTTTGGGCGGTGGGCAACCTTGATGTGCCTTTTTCCTGGGAGAATTTTTATAAAATTGTTGTTTTGGAGGCTTCCCACTATCATGTCGTTGGTCGTGGAGCACTCCACGCCAAATAAGCAATATCTGGGATATATTGTTGGTCTTTCCGTGCAGTTTAGGGATTTTGGGATGTTTTTGTTGGCCTGGAGTCTGGCCGCTAGAGTTGATGCACCTTGGGTGGTTTTAGTGTGAATTACCAGCCGTCCTTTCCCATTAACGGAGGCTGCCACTTCGGGGGAGTTCAGAATTGATAAATCTGCTTTTTGGATCTCGCGTAATATTTCTCGAGAGTCTGTAGCTGGGTTGCTTGATTTAATGACCACATGGGACTCATAGGCGGCTGCGAAATTTTTGGAGGCTGGTTTAGTCAATTGCTTTATTGGAGGAGGGGTAGGTTTTTTGGTATTTGGTTTGGCAACGGCGTTGATGTAGAGTTTTTCCTTGTGTAGTTAATATTCTTTTCCGTGGTTTATGCCTTTATAGACATCAAAGATGATATCTTCTGTGCCTTTCAGGGCCCATTCCACCAGGGAAAGCATTGGCTGGAGCTGCTCCGGCGTCATGCCGTTGGACTTAGCTACGTCAGCCATTTTCTTGGTGACTTTCTGGTGAATGACCTTTAGTTGATTAAACTCAAGGTTGCAAGGAGGTTCATTGATTCGCGGGCGTTTTACGCTTCCGTCTCCCGTTGCGTCAGATGATTCAACTTCCATTCTTGTTAAAAAAAAACTTACCATAAATTAATATTCATAAATAGAATTTGTTTACGTCACCTTCTAGTGATAGGCCTTGCAAAGTGGAAAAATTTATAATTGATGAAAGTTTCTAGTACCTCAACGACCAAAAAATTGGTCATTAAGGCATCCTGAAAAATCATGAAACGGGTAGTTAAGGCCAGAATTGCGTGAGACCGCGACATAATGTGAAAAAATAGTACAAATGTGATATTGTACTGGGATTATCCATATAAGGTGCATATATTAAGAAAAAGGCATTTCCTTATCGTGCAACTGAAAGTTGCTGATGGCTTGCGCCATCTATCGGAATAAATATCAACTATTCTCGTTGATTTCTAATTATTCCAGAATAGGCCAAATACCCATTCTTGATTAATCAAGAAATGTGTGGATATGTAAAGAAACAACAATTGATTTTACAAACAACAGCAATTCATATCTTCGCGAACATGACTCGCTATAAACCCCATGAAAAATGTTAAAACAACACTATCATATCCATCTGCGTTTGGTAAATTCAACTGATTCTATGTAGGAAAAAATGTTAATTGATGTACATTAAAAAAACTGATAATGTACCATTTGTTCATATTTTACACATTTATATTTTACGGTACACTGATTAAATATAGGGATTTAAATAATTATTTATCAACCAGGCGCGATATTGAAGTATTTGTGCCTATTTCAGAGGAGTAAACAACAAATAAATTAAAACTCAGAATTAAATATGAAAAAACAATAGAAAAAAAAGTGAGTCAGGTGTTGATATTAAAAACAAAGTAGGCATATCCTGACCAGGAGCACATGCGCTTTTCAGAAGGCAGAGCGCCATCTGATGGAACAGAAATCAACTATTTATTGATTTAGCCTGTTCCCTGATATTTGGCCAACCCAATTTCTTGATAAATCAAGAAAAGCCATCCACGAACGCGTTTCGCGCTGTTGGCGCTCGTCAGCGTGGAGTAGGCTGTATCACTGCGACCAAAAAATATTTTTGGTCCCATTGGTTCCTGAAAATGGCTTCTGAAAAGCACATGTGCTTCTGGTCAGGATATGCCTACTTTGTTTTTTAGAATTAAATATTTACAAATTTAGATCTATTAATCGACGGAATTCATAAAATTTATATAAACAAAGTGGCTGAGATGTAAGAGAGTTAAATCATTTATATTAAGGAACATTCATTAGAACACTTTTACAAAGTGAGATAAGGTGAAGAGCAGTATTTGAACCAGCGACCTAAGGATCAACGTATATACATCTACGGTTCTTCGCTCTGCCAACTGAGCTATCAATTATAGGGATATTACATAAGAGATTAAAAAATTTCAATAAACAAACTAATTATTGAGAAAGAATAGTATAACAGTGAAATTTGCGGAATCTGGTGGGTAAATTGAAACATCTACTGATTGTTAAAGTTCTGTGTTAATGGAACAAGCCAATTTTCAGCCATATCAAAGTTATTTATTTATTTATTGAGAATGATTTTCAAAAAATCTCTTCAACACACGGGCGGGCCGTTGACTCGGGCAAGTATAGTTCACAAGCGATCCATCTTGTGATGTCCATTTATTGCACACACCAAAGTTTATTTAAAAGGCAACTTGACAATGAAATGGAATAACAAACATGTCTACAATTTTATTGATTGGTTTTCCTCAACTTTTGACAACCAACGAAACTGAGAATTTGCCAGAATGATTGATCAGTTTCTTAGCTAGGTTGACATAGAGAACTGTCCACATTGAAAACTTTATTATTATTCCTAGTACACGTGGTACAGGCGATGGTGGGTAGAACTACCCACATTAGAAACTTAATTATTATTATTCCTAGTACAAGTGGTACAGGCGATGGTGGGTAGAACTACCCACATTAGAAACTTAATTATTATTATTCCTAGTACAAGTGGTACAGGCGATGGTGGGTAGAACTACCCACATTAGAAACTTAATTATTATTATTCCTAGTACAAGTGGTACAGGCGATGGTGGGTAGAACTACCCACATTAGAAACTTAATTATTATTATTCCTAGTACAAGTGGTACAGGCGATGGTGGGTAGAACTACCCACATTAGAAACTTAATTATTATTATTCCTAGTACAAGTGGTACAGGCGATGGTGGGTAGAACTACCCACATTAGAAACTTAATTATTATTATTCCTAGTACACGTGGTACAGGCGATGGTGGGTAGAACTACCCACATTAGAAACTTAATTATTATTATTCCTAGTACAAGTGGTACAGGCGATGGTGGGTAGAACTCACCATATTAGAAACTTAATTATTATTATTCCTAGTACACGTGGTACAGGCGATGGAAGTCATGGTGGGTAGTAGCTTGCAACTGCTTTTACTGTAAGTGCACCACATGTCTACACATGTAGAAAGCAGTTTGACTTTTGCACTTACAAAGGTGTCAGAGTTCCTTTTGATTACTTGCACTCACTGGTAGGGTTGGACATTCGAAAGAATCAAGGACCATTTAAGACTTTTTTTTTTCTACAGAAAAAAAAAAGCTCAATACGGGATTCGATCCCGGTTCATGGCAGTTGAAAATAAACGGCTTGTAGCACTCGTCCACATTGAAAATTTCCATGAGCGACCATCTCCCTGAGCGATCACTTAAGTAAAACCATATATCACGACACTTTTGTAATTGAAGATCTATAGTTTCCATTTGCGTCAAATTCTTGTAAATTTCCGAAAAGATGATCTTTCGGTAAATCTCTTTAGGCTTTGTTGACTATGGAGCAAGATCCTGAATTGTTAATTATTTTAATGGTGACATATATACATATGAAAAAAACAACAGAAAAAAAAAGATCAGGTGTTGATATTAAAAATAAAATAGGCATATAGAAAATGAAAAAAAAAAAATAATAATAAAGCACGAATGCTTATATTTTATACATAAAACAAACTTATACTATCCTTACTGCGATGAAAAAATATTGGGAGAGCTTGGCTCATTAGTTGTGAACACTTTCAGCGGTTTCGCCAATTTATTCTACCAGACCGCTTCTCAGAGCTCTAATGCTGTATTGGATGATTCTACTTATATATGCTACACTGAAGGGTGGAATCTTAGAAATGGTATTCAAGCTAAATATGGACATAAACTTTTAGAACAGTAAATTTAGATATAAATATTTGCATCAAACAATGCTCTTTCCGCAAACAATAAGGTAAAAGCCATCTATGGTCAAGATGGCGCTTGTTTTTAACGTCTATTTTCCCGGAAGAGGCGATCTCTATTTTATAGATCAATATCTTCCCGGTAAAATTTCCATATATTAAATATAAATAGGACCGTTTTTTAATTTTACAAACAGAGGGGATTGTACTTACACTGGGTATTTTCTGGGCCATATACAATGTGTTCCATGAGATCATTTACAAAATTTCAAAGTGCAATACCATGAATTAATTATAGTCAAAATAATATCCCAACTTTAAAAATTGCATTGTGTTTATTTTTCAGCTAACAGGAATTTAGAATAATGCTGTCTTCACAAGAAAAGGAACAAAATGTGGAATAGTTAATTGAAACCAAATATGAGAGTTAGAAATATATATGATAAAAGCTATTTCTACACAGCCTACATGCTGCAATGAATAAAAACTGTACCATTTTTTAAAATATTACACTGGGTATTATGGAAACTAATATATGCTATCTATGAGTTAGGCGGATTTCTATCAGATTGTTTAGAGAGAAAGGATCCTTGATTGTTTCTATGGTTTTAAAGACTGACATTATTTTTCTTACCTCTCTCTTGACGCAAAAGAAAAAACGTTTTATTGGAGTCACAATTCAATGTGTTATGGTATTTTGTGACAGATAATGCTGACACCAAATTTGTGTGTGAGCTTGTACCAAAATTAAACTCTATACTTAATTTGGTTATCGCACTATTCTTACAAAAAGAGATTTGATATAAGTGCAACAAAAATCTATTAAAAATAAGGCTGAACTACTCTGCAAAGCTTTTCTTAATTTTTTAAAATATAAAAAAGGATGCCCATTTAAATGTATTAAAACAATAAATAATTTGCAGACAGTTCATCTTTAATTTCTTGTTTAATTTTCTGCCATTATGTAATTAGGGGGAAACTGTTGATCTAAATTTCTCCCAATGTTTAGACACACAACGCGTCCTCTTATATTTATATACAAAATAATACTATAGAAATCTTTTGAAGGTAGACAGTTTTTAGCCTTACTTTCTAATAAATATATTTACAAAAGACCGGTTGCTATGCTAATAATCCACAACAACCTGATCTAAACCATCCTCCAAAGAGCGATACAACCTCCACAAGAGACCAAGACAATCCATGGTTTCAGGATGGTTACATAGAGGTTTACCTGTAAACAGAAGCTAACGGTCCGTGCTTACAAACTTGCTCCACGATGAAATAAGAGATTACTAAAGTATACTAGGGAAACTTCATAAAGGATAATTTGCTGGGGATACGAGGGTTTCATTAGGTTTGCCTGAAGGCGATGCCTTCCTAACCCAAATGACCTTTTTTCTAGGGGTAATTGGTTCATACTCTGCCATCCATAGGGGCAGGCGGTCTGCACCATGGCACCATTATCAGGCCCATAACGTTGAAATTTATGGGAATCCCACCAACGGCCTTCTATTGGGGAGGGTCATTGGCTCCATTCCAGATAGAAACTTAGAGGTCTCTCCTGTAAATCAGGTGAGATATTGGAAGTATTTCCTAGATCATTGTTCTGGAACTCCACTCGGATTCTTTGGTGGGGATTGTGAGTAAAGAAATTTTATTTTCGAAATATTTTTATTCTCTCTCTCTCTCGACCAAAACTAAGACTTAGCAAAATGGTATCGAATAATAAATATAAACCATGCACTAAAGTGCAATGTATTAATGGATATTAATGAAGTATTTCACATAGCTTATACATTATAACAAAAACGAAGGTAATTGAAATGGATTTTACACAATTTTTCACACACAGTATTTCATCCTGGAAAATGATTTCAAAATAAGATTTGATGTTAAAAGAAGAATGGCTAATAGAATATTTGAGTTTTTAAAAGGATATAAAGTAACTTGAATACTCTATTTTCTTCAAATTGTGTAGTCTATATTGTGTACACGCTTGTTCGGCGGTACATATACTACAATAGGAACGATATAGAAAAGATTAGCATGGCCCCTGCGCAAGGATGACACGCAAAATCGTGAAGCGTTCCATATATTGTGTGCGGAATATTTTTACAGATGGAGAAATTTCATCAAATATACTTTATTCAGTTCCAATTCAAATATCTTTCAAATATAATACATGCTTTGAGGAAATTAACTTTGTGAAAAACAATTCTGGCTACTAGCAGTTAATTTCCATAAATTTATACTTCAATCAAAACAAAATTTTCTCTTTTTGATTTTATATAAGCTCTTGTGGTGTTTTTTATAACTATTTATCTTGTACAATATATTTTTGGTTCAAATTTGCAAAACCAAATTTTGTAATAAATTGAAAAAATTTAGCACTTGTTGAAATCTCTATTATAGCTCACAGTTCAGGTTCTGTAACTACGTTTTTTTTTTTAGAGTTATACGCATAATATACAAATTTATTGTTGATTTCAGTTTGGAAATTAATTCTCTAACAGGTTAGAGAAAAATAGAAGAAAGCTCTTGGGATTAGAGGTTTCTGATTTGATAACCCTAATCTGAAACCGAAACTAAACTTACTTAACCTCACAATGGCTAATAAACATTTTCCGTTAGATTAGGGTTAGTAAATTAGCAACCTAATCTCGAGGTTTCTCCCAACCTCTCTTAAATAACTATCCATTTCAGTATTTTATAGATATTTTCAAAGAGTATTTAATCAAGAAAATATATTTTGGAACACAGTGTTTCATTGGTCTAATAAAGAAACAAGTTTAGGTTCCATCTTTTCCATTCAAGAACGTAGCCATTTGGAGACATTTTTTTTTACAATAAAAATAACTTTTATTGACCATAAATATAACCAATAATTATTGGTTGATGTAGCTATATTTTTTCCAAATCAACTTCCAGCCAACAAATGATCTTCAAAACAAAGAGAAAATATTAAAACTTTGATCTATTAAGTTGATAGGAATATGAGACTTCTTATTTTTGTACCAGTAGCCGGGGACCTGAAGATTACTATGGGTCATCCTATATCGTTAATTTCATCTCCACATAATTCACATTTCAAGCAGAGTCCTACTTCCTATTTTCCGAGATGCTTTAGCGGAAAAATAGTAAGAT